CATGGGGATATGTTGCACAGATTATCTCATCAGCCAGGATTAAGCCTAGTACCCATTAGGCTATTACCCATTAAGCCTAGTACCCATTTTTCCTGATCCTCTCCATCCTCACACCCTAATGGCATTTGAATGATGAATTCTTTCCAGAAGGTTTTAAATTTACTTTGCCCAGACCCATCAGAGTAATCACTATCTATGGCTGGTATAGCCTTATGAAATGGATTTCTTAAAAATCAAAATTATTCCTTGATCCATAGGCTGCAGAATAGACGCTGTGTTAGCAGGCATGGAAACAACATTAATCTCCTTGTACAACTCCATTAGAACTTTTGGGGGACCAGGTACGTTGTCAATGAGGTGGACTGTCAATATTTTGAAATAATCTTTTTTTTTCTTCTAAGCAGTAGGTCTCGACAGTGAGCTCAAAATATTCCGTAAACCATGCTGTAAAGAGATGTGCTGTCATCCAGGTTTTGTTGTTCCACTTACAGAGCATAGGCAGAGTAGATTTAGCATAATTCTTAAGGGCCCTAGGATTTTTAGAATGGTAAATGAGATGGCTTCAACTTAAAGGCAATTAGCCCCTAACAGGAGAATCAGTCTGTCTTTTGAAGCTTTGAAGCCAGGCATTGACCTCTTTTCTCTGTCTATGAAAATCCTAGATGGCATCTTCTTCCAATATAAGGCTGTTTTGTGTAACCACCTTCATCAGTGATCTTAGCTAGATCTTCTGGATAACTTCTTACAGCTTCTACATCAGCACTTGCTGCTTTACCTTGCATTTTTATGGAGATGGCTTCTTTCCTTAACCCTCATGAACAAACAGCTGCTAGCTTTAAAGTTCCCCTATGCCGCTTCTTCCCCTCTCTCAGCCTTCATACAGTCGAAAAGGCTTCGGCTTTGGCTTAAGGAAATCGTACGTCTGATTTGATCTATCCAGATCACTAAGACTTTCTCCAGATCAGCAATAAGTCTGTTTGCTTTCTTATCATTCCTGGGATCACTGGAGCAGCACTTTTAACTTTCTTCAAGAACTTTTCCTTTGCATTCACAACTTGGCGAGCTATTTGGTACAAAATGCCAAGCTCTTGGCCTATATTGACTTTCAACATGCCTTCCTCACTAAGCTTAATCATTTGTAGGCTTTTGATTTAAAGTGAGAGATGTGCGACTCTTCCTTTCACTTAAACACTTAGAGGTCATTGTAGGGTTATGAATTGACCTAATTTCAATCTTCTTGTGTCTCAGAGAATAGCGAGGCCCAAGGAGAGGGAGAGAGATGAGGGAACAGCCTATTGTTGAAACAGTCAGAAAACATACAATATTTATCAACTGAGTTTGCCATCTTATATGGTGAGGCTCGTGGCACTCCAAAACAATTACAATAGTAACACTGATCACAAATCACTATAACAGACATAATAATAATAAAAAAGTTTGAAATATTGTAAGAAATACTACATGTGACACAGATTCAAGAAGTGGTCATATGCCTTTGGAATATGACGCCCATAGACTTGCTAGATTCAGGGTTGCCACACTTTGAATTTGCAAAAAAAAAAAAAAATGCAGTGTCTGTGAAGCACAATAAAACATGGTATTTTCTTTATTCATCCAATGATGAACAATTAAATTGTTTCCGTATCTTGGCTACTGTGAATAATTCTGCAATGAACATGAGAGTTCAGCTATCTCTTCAACATACTAATTTTACTTTACTTTTTATATACCCAGAAATGGGGTTGCTGGATCATCTAGTAGTTTTCTTTTTAACTTTTTAGAAACCCCCATACTGTTCTCCACAGCAGTGGCATTGTTTTACACTCCCAACAGTGCACAAGGATTCCAATTTCTCCACATTCTCACCAATACTTATTATAATTTTTTAAAATTATAGTGAAACTCATAGAAACAGAGAATAGAATGGTGGTTGCAGAGGCTGGTGGAGGAGGATGTGGGAAGTTGTTCACCAAGAATAATTGTGCAAGATGAATAATAATAATTTCTAGAGATCTACTGTTCAACATAGTACCTATTCCTTTTTTTGTTTGTTTGTTAGTTTTTGGGACAGAGTCTTGCTCTGTTGCCCAGGTTGGAGTGCAGTGGCACGATCTCAGCTCACAGCAACCTCTGCCCCCTGGGTTCAAGCAATTCTTCTGCCTCAGCCTCCCTAGTAGCTGGGATTACAGGTGCCCGCCACCATACCTGGCTAATTTTTGTATTTTTAGTTGAGACAGGGTTTTTCCACGTTGGCAGGCTGGTCTCGAACTCCTGACCTCACGTGATCCGCTTGCCTCAGCCTCCCAAAGTGCTGGGATTACAAGTGTGAGCCACTGCACCCGGCCAGTACTTATTCTTAACAATATTGTATTGTGCACCTATAAATTTAAGAGAGCAGATCTCATGTTAAGTGTTTTTACCATCATAAAAAGTTATTACATTAATTAATTTTAAATTATTTTAAAATGTTATTAGAACATTTGTCGAAAACCCATGGAATGTGCAACACCAACAGTGAACCTTTATGTAAATTATGAGCTTTGGGTATTAATGATAGGTCAATGCAGCCCCAGGACTACCGGGTCCCAGGCTCTGGGCACTCCTCTACTTCTTTATCTTCGAGTGCTCACAGCATAGTCATGGAACCTCTCATTTCAAACTGCACTCACCCCCTTGATAATTTCATGCACTGTTACAGCTTCAAATTCCAAATTTAAATCTTCAGTCATGATTACCCCTCTGAACTACAGACTAGCAAATCTTATTACCTGCAAGCCCCCCATCCCCACTTGGGTGCCTAGTAGACCTGACTTACGCAAAGTGAACTGATGATCTGTGGCCCCCTCTCCCAGCCCTGCTGAACCCTCATTCTTCCTCCTATCAGTAATGGCAACTCTGCCTTTCCAGTGCACAGACCAAAACGTGGAGTCATCTTTGACTCCCTTTCCCTTGTCTCACACGCCACATCCAGCCCATCAAGAATTCCTGTTGAGTCTGTCTTAAAAGTAGATCTGGAATCCACTCCTTTCTCATCACCTCCACTGCTCACCAATCTGGTTTAAGCCACTCTTGTCTCTCACCTGGAGGGTTGCCATCACCTCCTAAGTGACTGCTCTGCTTCTGTTCTTGCTGTCTCAAGATGTTGGTCAGAACATATTATTCTTCTACTCAAAACCCACCTCACACAGAGTGAAAGAAAAGTCTTTACAATCATCTACAAAGGCCCCACGAGATCAACCTACCCATCTCCCCGAAACTGCACTTACCCTCCAACCTCATCTCCTACCAGGACTGCCTTACTCACTCTGCTCCAGCCATGCTCGTTTTTTGTTGTTGTTGTTATTGTTTTGTTTCTGAAATATGTCAGACATGCTTCTCTGCAGGGCTTTTGCTCTCTCCTCTCCCTCTTTCTGAGTTCCCCTTACCGCAGATATTCACATCTGGCCTCAGATATTCATGCGGCCAATTTATTCCTTCAAGAATGTGTTCAAGGCTGGGCAAGGTGGCTCACGTCTGTAATCCCAGCACTTTGGGAGGCCGAGGCAGGCAGATCACGAGGTCAAGAGTTTGAGATCAGCCTGGTCAACATGGTGAAACCCTGTCTCTACTAAAAATACAAAAATTACCCGGGTATGGTGGCGCATGCTTGTAGTCCCAGCTACTTGAGAGGCTGAGACAGGAGGATGACTTGAACCCGGGAGGCAGAGGTTGCAGTGAGCTGAGATCGTGCCACTGCACTCCAGCAAGGGCAAAAGAGTGAGACTCCATCTAAAAAAAAGAAAAAAAGAAAAAAAAAGAATGTGTTCAAATGTTCCCTTCTCAATGAGGCTTTCCTGGATCACATTATTTATTTAATTGGCAGCCTCCAGGGTTTATCCTCCTTCATCATTTCATTTTTCTTCAAAGTATTGATGCCTTCTTGGAATATAGTTATTCATTGTATTTATTGTCTCTCTCCCCCAGCTAGAAGATAGGGCGTGAAACTTGTCAGTGTACATGATTTTCACCCCTGCAGCTGTATCCCCCAGTGCCTAGAACACATGGTAGGCACTCCACCGATACAAGAATGGATGGATTGGTGAATGAAAGCATACATTCCCTCTGAAGTGATAGTTCTTCCTCATGCAAATGAGGAATAAGTATTTAACTCCTCTTGAAGACCTTTCCAATGCTAAGAAAAAAAAAATTAAGCCAGAATCTCTAAAAGGATTATTGTTATAAATATAGCCAACGTATTATGCTGCAGCTTGAAATGTAAAATAAACACTATTTTAATCAGAAAGAAAGCTACTTACTTGCACTAAACTCTTGCTTACCTAGGTGCCGAAGGGTAACTGAAGGGGCACATGCCCTCTGTAGAAGCTGAAAGGCAAGAGAAGTCTCATTTTTGAGTCAATGGCTTGATTATGTCAATTTGTCATCCTTCTACTTTTATTACTCACTGAATGAAAAATGAGCTGAAATATTTAACTTTGTAATTCCTTGCACTGAGGAAGTTTTAAAATTTAGTAAGAAATGTGTCTTGATTTTTTAAAGCTCTCCATATGTATAGAGTTGAATTCAGATTGGAAGGAATTTCAGTGATGCTATTAAGAATTGGTAAGCAATGTGATCTGGTGGAAAGGAATTTTTGTTTGCTTTTTTTCGGGTTTTTCCCCTTCTGCCTTTGCCAATTATTTGTGGTGAAATTTCAAGGAACTCTCATTACTTTTCTGTTTTCAGGTTGAGAAATATGAAGAAGAAAAATTACTACCCTTTTACAAGAATATTGTCATGTTTTATAAACTAATGTCAGTTAAGGTAAAAGTACTTTAAAATCTGAGGAAGAATTCACAATGTATTTATTTTTATTCTTTAGAAACAGGGTCTCGTTCTGTCACCTAGCTCACAGCAGCCTTGAACTCCTGAGCTCAAGGAATCCTCCTGCCTCATCTTCCCAAGTAGCTAGGACTATAGGCATGCACAACCACACCCAACTCATTTTTTTTTACTTTTTGTAGAGACTGGATCTCGCTGTGTTGCCCAGGCTGGTCTTGAACTCCTTGCCTCAGGAAATCCTTCTGGCTTAGCCACCCAAAGAGCTGGAATTACAGGTATGAGCCACCGTGCTTTGCCATTTTCATAGTTTAAGTTTAAGGTAGTATTATACATTCACCAGGTGAATGGAAAGGTACTTTTTGAGTCTAATAACATGAACACAGTGATCAAAGACTTCTGCATGGAGCATCTCCACCATATGCCACCCTTGTCCACAGGGAGGCCTGAATCCATCTCCAAATTTGTACAGTTTACAAAATTTTTTACAAAAATGCAAGGTATTATATTATTTTTTTCTTATAGTCAGACAAGTTTAATTAAAAGTTTTGAAAATATGGAAAGCCTCAGTTTGCTTTTTTCACATACTTCTTATAATGTCTGAACTGTTCATCTACTATAGCAACTATTCTTTTGACTAAATGCACTTTCTCTCTCTTTTTTTTTTTTAATTATTTACTTTAAATTCTGGGATACATGTGCAGAACGTGCAGGTTTGTTACGTAAGTATACATGTGCCATGGTGGTTTGCTGCACCTGTCAACCCATTATCTAGGTTTTAAACCCTACTTGGATTAGGTATTTGTCCTAATGCTCTCCCTCCCCTTTCACCCCCCACCCCCTCCCTGTGTCCATGTGTTCTCATTGTTCAACTCCCACTTATGAGTGAGAACATGCAGTGTTTGGTTTTCTGTTCCTATGTTGGTTTGCTGAGGATGATGGTTTCCAGCTTCATCCATGTCCCTGTAAAGGACATGAACTCATTCTTTTTTATGGCTACATAGTATTCCATGGTATATATGTGCCACATTTTCTTTATCCAGTCTATCATTGATGGGCATTTCAGTTGGTTTCAAATCTTTGCTATTGTAAATAGTGCTGCAATAAACATATGTGTACATATGTCTTTATAGTAGAATAATATTATATCATTATAATATTATATTATTAAATTAAATTATTCTTTTCTACTTTAGAAGAACTCCTTGATAGACAATGGACCTCAATGTTTATGCAACACTTTATGTTATATTAATATCTTTCATGCTTGAGAGAATCAAGAGCAATAATGAATCTGCTGGTCTAAATTTTGGGAAAGCATTTTTTTTTTTTTTTTTTTTTGAGACGGAGTCTCGCTCTGTCGCCCAGGCTGGAGTGCAGTGGCGCAATCTCCGCTCACTGCAAGCTCCACCTCCCATGTTCATGCCATTCTCCTGCCTCAGCCTCCTGTGTAGCTGGGACTACAGGCTCCCGCCACCACCCCCGGCTAATTTTTGTATTTTTAGTAGAGATGGGGTTTCACCATGTTAGCCAGGATGGTCTCAATCTCCTGACCTCATGATCCGCCTGTCTCGACCTCTCAAAGTGCTGGGATTATAGGCATGAGCCACCACGCCCGGCAGCATTTTAAACTGTAAGTAATTTGCACAGATGTAAGATGCTATCATAATACAATTCTGTGAAGCAGGCATGACATATTCCCATATCTTACACAAGGATATTGAGGGTTCACAAGGTTGAGATGTGTGTGAAGTCACATAGCTGGCAAGTGGAATAGTGGAGATTCTAAATCAGGCCTCTTGACCCCTCCCCCATTCTCTTCCCATTACTCATGAAAGGTGGTTCAGGTGTCAGGAGTGGGGCATATTTACAGTACTATTTTTTGTTTTTATTTTTTGAGATGGAGTCTCACTTTGTTGCCCAGCCTGGAGTGCAGTGGCATGATCTCAGCTCGCTGCAATCTCCGCCTCCTGGGTTCAAGCAATTCTCCTGCCTCAGCCTCCCGAGTAGCTGGGATTACAGGCCTGTGCCATCATGCCCAGTTAATTGTTGTGTTTTTAGTAGAGACAGGGTTTTACCATGTTGGCCAGGCTGGTCTCAAACTCCTGACTTCAGGTAATCCGCCCACCTCGGCCTCTCAAAGTGCTGGGATTACAGGCGTGAGCCATCGCACCCAGCCACAAAACTACTTTTAAATGACTTTCTTTTAATTCAGGAAATTGGTGAATTAACTGGAGGTCCCAGAACAACAAAGATCTGTTTTGTGTTAGACACCAGTGGGCTGGTTTTCTTACACCCCCATTCTTTGTTATTCTTTCTTTCTCTTGCCTCGTTTTACTTACTCTCCTTTTCTCTTTCTCTTTATCAAGTAATGAGAAATAAACTGATGTCAATAAAATTTGCCCCCATCTCACCTCCTTGATCAATATGTGTTCCATCCCGGTCAGAGAGTCTTGTGGGTTTTAGCTGGGAAGGCCCCCACCTCAGTCTGTTCTCACAAGTTCCATTCTTCTGTGCTTCAGCTGAGATGTTAATATTATTTGAGCTTCTACAGGCTGAGAAGTAGCTATTATCTCAATATGACAGTAAAACAGTTGATTACTTCCTGAAGTACCTCTTTAAATCAAGAATCCCCCTAATAAAACCTTTTAAAAATTCTTTTAAATTATAGAATGTGAACCAGCCAGTCTCTATACACCATGGAGCCCCCTCCTAGGCTTAATCCTGAAAAGCCCCCTTTCTCCCTGAATGGCAGGAGGTCAGAGAATGCAGATGCAGTGATAGTGGCCAAGGGGTCTGTGAGAAGCCAAGGGCCTGCCTCAAACTCGGCCACCAGCCACACGACCCGGGATGGATTGCTGGTTATCTCTCTGTTCCTGCTTCCTACCTAGAGCTCGACATAGCAAAAATGCCTCCATGACATCAAATAGCAAAGAGCTATGAAGGGAAGGTGCTCATGGAAGTTCCACATCTAATTGTTCTATTTGGATTATATTTTGTTTTAATCATTTAAACTAAAAAACTAAGCCAAATTGCTTATAGTTGGCCAGAGTGAAAACTCACAGGCTTTTCCATCATTCTTGTGTCAAACATTCCCATCTGATAGTGCTTTAATAATGCATATTCTGGCCGGGCGCGGTGGCTAACACCTGTAATCCCAGCACTTTGGGAGGCCAAGGTGGGCAGATCATGAGGTCAGGAGTTTGAGACCATCCTGACCAACATGGTGAAACCCCGTCTCTACTAAAAATACAAAAATTAGCCAGGCATGGTGGTGGGCACCTGTAATTCCAGCTACTTGGGAGGCTGAGGCAGGAGAATTGCTTGAACCCAGGAGGCAGAGGTTGCAGTGAGCCAAGATCATGCCATTGCACTCCAGCCTGGGCGACAAGAGCAACACTCCATCTCAACAACAACAACAACAACAACAACAAAGCGTATTTTTTCTCTGTCTTTAGGCCTGATGGCTTCTGCCATTGTGAGTGCTGCATTTAGTATCTGGCTCCCAGCACAGCAGTCACACCCGCAGATTTCCCATGGAGGGGTCTGCTCATGTCACTGTGGAGGGGTGTCTTCCATTTGAGACTATTTCATCTGATTGTGGTTGGCAGAAAAAAAGCAGAATTTGATCCTTGCTGAAGGGATTTTTACTGGTTCACACTGAAATGTTAATTCTGCATAAACCATTCATTTGTAAAACCTTTCAGTGTACTTTAAACTCTTCTTTTGGAGGTAGTCATCCTGCCGCTTCCTTTCGGTTTTTCAGAGCTAGATAAACTGTCATCATTGGCAAGGTAATGTAGGCTCCCTTGAGCGTATTTGGTATTTTTTCTTCACGGGTGCTATGGTCTGAATTTTTGTGTCTCCTCCCTAAAATTTCTATGTTAAAATCCTAACCCCCATCCTAAATTTATGTGTTGAAAACCTAACTCCCAAGGTGATGGTATTAGGAGATGGGCCTTTGGAGGGTGATTAAGTCATGAGGGTGGAGCCCTCATGAATAGGATTAGTGCCCTTATAAAGGAGGCCCCAGAGAGTCTGTCTACCACTTTCTCCATGTGAGGACATAGAGGGAAGGTGCCATCTATGATCCAGGAAGGAGGCCCTCACCAGACACTGAATGCCGGTCCCTTGATCCCAGATTTCGCTGCCTCTAGGACTGTGAGCAATAAATTCCTGTTGTTTATAAGCCACCTAGTTTACGTTATTTTGCTCTAGCAGTCTGAATGGACTAAGACAGTGAGTATGCATGCAAATGTAATCCTTCCTTATCTAGTGTAAAATACTCTCTACAGCATCTACGTTAACTAGAATATTTGAAAATGAGAAATGAAATATTCATAATATAAAGCCTACAGCCCTGAATTTTAAAATATTTTGGCATATTTTGGGAACTTAACCAATGAGATGAACTTGCTGAAAATCAGCATTTCAGTGTTTATTGAGTACGTGGGAAGGGAAGCCCCGCCCCTTATTCCATTGTCCACTGGAACACTTGCTCCCCACCGCCAGGGCAGGGCGTGTCTGGTTAGCCAGAATTGTGTCTGGCACTTGACTCCCTCTTAAAGTGGCTAAGCTTTTCTCAATTCTAGGACAAAATCCCTGTCCTATGACCACATTACACACAGACCACATATGTGATGGGAAGTAAAATTTTAATGGCTCTAAGAAGTTGTTCAGGAGGTTAGAAAAGGAAAAGAACTGTAAACAAACAATATTCTCTTTACTTATAGAAACTAGTGTTGGAGGAACCTGGGCCCAAAGACAGGTCCTCCCGTGTTGTTAAAGGTGGAGACCAGATGAGTGAGTCCTTGGTCTGACAGATCACCTCAGTGAATTTCAAGAGTGTGGAAAGGCAGGCATAGTGCTTAGTTTAGGGTCCACTGCGGTGCAAAGCTTACCTGAGGCAGAGGATGAACTAGTGACTTTGGATGTCAGCACCCAGCAGGTAGTGAGAGAGAAAAGGGAACACAAGAGGGAAAGTGGCTTGAAAGATGGCAACAAATTGGGCCCAAAGGGACAAAATTGGCTAACAAAAATGTCAGGGGATGGCAATGGCTTTTGAGGACAGCTATGTCTAACAACATTTTATTGCACTGCTAATTCATTCAGCAGACCTTTATTGAGTACGTATTATTTGTCAGGCCCTGTGTTAGGCACAAGGAATACAACAGCTAGTTGCAAAAAGAAAAATCCAATATCCCTACTTTCCTGGGGCTTACTCTCTAGAGGGGAGCAGGATATTAACTAAATAAGCGCACTTGGATTATAAGTTATG